TATTATGTGCCTTATACTCCTTTATTAAAAGTTTTCTTCTGTCATTTTTTCCACTTATTATAAGCAGCTTTCTCAGTCTTGCTCTATTTGGTGCTAACCAATGGAAGTTCACTGCTTGGTCCTGAGAATTCAGCTAGAATACAGAATTTCAGAAACAAGGAGAAAACTTACTCCCTTCACAGAAGAGTAGATACTTCTTGCTTCGTAGTAAAGTTCTTTCTGATAAAGCAGTAAGCTGGGAATAATCGTGAAAGTATTGATCTCGGTCTGCTCTCCACTGTGGAAATTTGCATGTAAACTGTTTTCTGATTAACAAAGAAGTCTTTAAAGATGTTTGTGTGATCCCTTCAAAAGTCATGGCTAAAAGCTTTAAAATGCAACCTTTAACCTTGAAAATGCTGCTTTCTAACTGGTTGCCTTATTTGCTAATTTGTTGTCCTGGTAATAATATTTAAGTAGTATCTGTGATTTTTTTTCCCGGAAAAATAAGTATTTTTAAGGTTTCATTTTATTTCTTGGTTGGCCAGAAAAACTTGATAATCGTCTCTTTTCCCTTCATGCATACAGCATAAATAAATGGTATATTCCTTGTTCAAAGTTTGAGGAGTCTTAGTCACTTATCACACCCAAAGTCAGCTAATGGGTAAGAGACACAAACGCATGAGACAAACTCATCTGCTACAGAACGAGAGAGAAACTACTTTAAAAGATGTTTAAAAAGTCCAGTCCAAGCAGACATTAATTCAGAATTGTTTTTTCCTCTTCTTCCTAAATTGGAGAGGTCGGACCTTGGTTTAACTCAATTGGCCTCATTACCATCTTGCTGCACTTCAATCCTTGTGTATTGGGCACTCGTGTTCACAGGTAACTCTGCTCGGCTTCTTAGCCACAGACTGGAGTCCCAACCTCATTGACCCACTTAATACATGTATTAGATTGACACTCAGTAGCCGAATCTTTGTTATAATAGATAATTATTATTCCCATTTTTGATAAAACCATCATTCTCAAGATTGGTTTCATACAAACAGGGTACATGTTTTTCTTCTTCAAACACAAAGTTCCAATCCCCCTAAGCTTTTCAGCTTGCTGTAATTCTACTTCTTGGCTTTGTTTTACCTTCAGCTGCCAGCATATTTTAAAAACCATGCAGACATACTGAAAAAACATCCAATGCAACTTAATGTAGGTGGATATGACTGGACTTTTTGCTGTGAAACTTGAGTCATGTTTGAGTAATGAAATAAACAAACTAAAATGCGGAGCAAGCACAAGAATCATCTCTTATTCAGTCTTTTTTTTTTTCCTTCTTCTTCTTCTTTTTTTCTTTTTTGAGACGGAGTCTTGCTCTGTCGCCAGGCTGGAGTGCAGTGGCATGACCTCAGCTTACTGCAACCTCTGCCTCCTGGGTTCAAGCGATTCTCCTGCCTCAGCCTCCTGAGTAGCTGGGAATACTGCGCCACCATGACCAGCTAATTTTTGTATTTTTAGTAGAGATAGGGTTTCACCATGTTGGTCAGGATGGTCTCGATCGAGACCTTGTGATCTGCCCGCCTCGCCCTAGCAAAGTGCCGGGTTTACAGGAGTGAGCCACTGCACCCAGCCTTATTCAGTATCTTTTAAAAAATGTTTTCAGCCAAGTAAAAGAACGATTCACCTTCACAACTTGCTGGCTCTCTAAAGAATGACTGGCACCATCCTATTTTTTAAAAAGAGCTTTAAAAAAAGACTTTTGTGCTTGCCTTCCTAGAAAAGGGTAATTTTCCTCTTGATTCAATGTTTATTGTAGAAAATAAAAGTCAAAGAAAGAAATACAAATCATGTATAATTAAAAAGAGTCTTTTAAAACACACTGAATTTGAGAGTGCTTTATTATTCCCTGTAATGTGCCATACAAACGCAAAGCAGGACTAAGAATCACCTTTGATAGCAGGTGGGTCTTTAATCTACTAAAAATCTTCCCAGGGTTCGTGTAGGTGTTTGGGGATGTTGCTATGTCCACAACTGTAGAAGCTAGCGTAAGAAAACAAAAAACAAAAGCCACAGTGCTAAAAGTGAAGTACGGAAGTCCTCGAATATAGTTGCCATCGGAATACCTAGGAGTCCCTCTCAGAAAGACCGCTCTATACCTGTGATACCTCCTAACAGACATTTAGGCCAAGTGGGGAACCAGCTGATCCCAAAAGCCCCTAGGGAAGGAGCAGCCCCTTCTTTCCACTGCTAGTTCTCACCATAAACAACTTTTGCCTTTACATGAAAGTGAAATCTGTTTTTCTGTACTAATTACTCAAAATAAATGAAATCCCTTGCTGCATAACAGACCTCCACATATCTGAAGACAATTAGGACACAGCCACTTCCCTGCCCAAATCCTTCTGCAGGTTGAAACATCAGAGCTGAAGATGTGGAAACCGGTGTCATTAGGTTAGCACCTACCTAGCCGGGATGAAACTTCGATCTGACTCAAACGTTTACTGCAACATTGGTGTGTGAAGACACAAAGTCACCTAGTCACTGCCCTTGAAGGATATGGAATTCAGTAAATTCAGTAGATATAATTAATCTGAGTTACCAAATGTGTGCCCACTATGTATTAGAAACTATTTATGGCTGACCTGGTTCCAGATAGAGGGAAAAAAGTTCCATGACTTTTCTTGCTAGAAATACAAGAAAATGCTTTTTCAACATAAGTATTTTTTAAAAGCATCAACACTTTATTAACGTTAGTGTCACTGCAAAGGCATCCTACCAATGAGATAATTATATTGAGCTCAATTTATCCAAAGATAATTGGGTAAGTTGCGATCAATTTATCCAATTTGGCAATTTATGCAACATGGCAGATGAAAGAGTTATATACCCAAGATGAATGATTTTTTTTAAAAGAGTTAATAAAAATTTCTAATTTCCAAAAAAACCTATTTGTCAGACTGATGTATTTAAAATGTGTTAGAGTAAAAATCTCACACAAAAAATTGTCCTGTACCTTAGATCTTAAATGTGCCTAAACTAAATTTACTGCGTAATTATAATATGCAGAGGAGTAACAAAACTATTTCAAGATTTTTCAGAGATAAGTATAGGTACGCATACCCGTAAATATAATCACGAGTTTTAAAGCCTTCTTCCAAGCATATTTCACGTAAGATGAACAGTTAGCCAAAAGAATTACATACATTTCAAAACATCTTTGGAGGTAAAAGTCACTTCAAACGTTAGCATCTTTTTCCTTACAATGCAACGGCGAGAAAATGCATGGGAATTCTTAATGTGAAAAAAAAAATCATTTTATCAACACCAATGCTCTTTAATTTCAAATGTAAAAGTTTTAAAATGGCAATCCTAGTTTTAATAATACTCTTACAGGTTTCTGGAAATGCGTCATATGTTAAAGTATTACAGCCTGGTAGCTTGTATTTTGTTACAGAACCAACTACTGCAACCTAAACTACAGAGTACGGTTATATTTTCTCTCTGGCCGCCTAATTTTTATTAGTGGACTAGATCGTACTGCTAAATATCAAAGCTTGAAATGAAACAATACAGGCCAGCATGAAAACCTAAGTTAGAGAAACTCACTCGCGGTAGCAGACGGCAGCCCAGGAGCCAAACCTTGAGCTCTGTGCTGCGTTTGTGCATTCTGCTCCGTTTCACGAATCACAGACAAATCGTCAGAGTAAACTAAAGCCGCATCAAAGCTTCAGGAAGGGGCTGGCAGGTAGTGTACTTACGGAAAGGCTACCAGGACAGAGGCGACACAACTTGTCAGGGAGGGTCTCTAAGGTCCCCTAGGTGGTAATATGCATTTAAAAAGGAGATGTGGATTCAAGCCGCCTCCTCCCCACAGCATCCCAGACAAAGCCGGGCTAGGCCCCGGGGCGCTCCTGGTGCACCTGCAATGCGGATCCCTCGCCCTGCGATCCCACCCCGGGGCTGGCAGGAGCGCCCCGGGACCGGCCTCTCCTCCCGCTTGCCACTGGCGTGGGCGCGCGCCGCGGCCGGTCCGCACCCTGGACTGGAGCCCGGGCCGGGGCGCCCCCTCCCCAGAAGGGGCCGGCGGACCCTGCGGGGGCGGGCGCGGCCTGCGCCTCAGGGACCCTCTTCCCCCTATTCCGCCGTCCCCCGAGTTGCCTTCGCCCGGGGCCACCCCTGCCCCTCGCGGAGCTAGCGCGGCTCCCAAGCCCCGGGGGTGGGGCGGGAGGACCCCGTCCCCCATCTCCCCGCGGGGAGGGTTTTTAAAGTCTTCGCCACGAACTCCCGTCCCTGCCCGGCCCCTCCGCCCCCGCCGGCGCTGCCAGGTGAGCGGGGCCGGACTCGGCACACCCCGGGCCCCGCCTCACCTGCGGGCGCCGCCGTCGCGTTCCTTCAGGCGGCTGCCCTCTTAGGCTCGGTCCTCCCGACGGGCGGCGGCGGGGGCTCGCGGCCCATGGGCTGGGCGGGGCGCGGCGGGCGGGGCTGCCTGGGCTCGGGCGCTGCCCGGGGCCGGGCCGCCGAGGGAGGTCAGTGGGCGCCGCCCGCCCGGCACATCTCGCCCGCTCCCACCCGAGCGCTCGCCGCGGTGCACCCTGGGAGTGGGGCCGGCGGCGAGGCCTGGCCGCGCTGACCCGACGGGCGAGGCGCCGACGCGGCGGCGGGTCTGTGTCTGCCGGGCTGGGCGGGGGCGGCGGGCAGATATTCACTTGGCGAGGCGGGGCGACGCCCCCTTCCGCCCGGCTGTGGCCGGGCAGGGGCGAGGGCCGAGGGGAAGGGAGGGTCGGGCCCGCGGGACGCAGGCGCACAGCTCAGGTGCGGCCGCACTGCGGTTGCCCTGGGTAACGCGGCCCGGGCGGGGGCGCGGGGAGGAGCGAGGGAAGCGAGCGGGAGCGCGCGCGCCGCGCGCGGGGATTGGGGATGGCCGGGCCCGGCAGTGCCGGGTCTGGGGGGCGGGGGCGGAGGCGGGCAGTGGGGGCGCGGGCCGGGCGGCCGCGCATGCGTGCGGTCCCGGCTCCCCCGGGGCTCCCCGGCCTCGTGCGTGCGCACGCGCGCTGTCCCCCGGAGGCGTCTGGGTGTGCGGAGCGCGCGCGCGCGCGGCTCGGAGGCGCACCTGTGAGGTGTCCCTGAGAAGAGGGAGGTGGGTGCGCGGCGCCCGCGGCCTGGGGCGCTGACTCCCCTCACTTGGAGTGAGTTCTCGGCGGCCGGGCTGCAGTCTTTCTTTCTTTCCCGGAGGGGGCTAGGGGCCGGGGCCGGGGAGCGGGCTGGGGGTGGGAAGGAGGTGGAGTGGATTAAAGAAAAGAAAAACAACCCATCCCGGAGGATGGGCCTCGGGCTGGCCCGGCCCTTGGGGATGGCGGGGAAGGTCAGAGCGGCTCCGCGCAGCCGGGCGGGCCCCGGGCTGAGAAGCCGCCCCTCGGGCCTCGGGCGGTCGGCCGCGGGCCCGCAGTGCAGGGGAGCGGGGCCGGGGGGCGCAGATGGCGGCCGGCGCGAGCGAGGGCTGGGCAGCGGGCAGGGCGAGGCCGGGCGAGGCCCCGCGGGAGCCGGACTCCCGAGCCAGGCTCCATTGTTGTTGGAGCCGAGAAGGGGGAGCGCGGCCGCCCTCGTCGCCCGTGGAGCCGCGCCTTGGAGCCCTTCCAGGCGGGTCCCCGGAGAGGCGGTCATGGCCGCGCCAGGGGACCGGGGAGCCGGGCGGCTGCGGAGGAGCCGGCTGCATGGGGTGCTGTGTGTTTTTCAGGGCGCCCTGCGTCTAGCAGAGGAGGCGAGCATCCCGCTCAGGTGATGAGGAACCCCTCGCGCACCCAGCGCAGAAGGCGGCTGCGGCCGGACGCCTCCATTGTTTGACCACAACAAGGGCCGGATTCTCACCCAGGTAAACTGGCTGCCGGCGCTGTCCGCTCCCCTCTCGACTCCCGCCTCCGCAGGCGTTCTCACCCCTTCCAGGACTCGACTGCAGTTTTCTCACTGTCCCCGGCTTCTCATGAACTCCGTATACCCCCCTCCCAGACATTCTCCCATCCAGATCCATCTCTCCGCCACATCACCTCTCATTTCCCCCAGAACTCGGCTCCTTTGTGAAACCTTTCTTGCCGAACTCTAACAACTACATCTCCCCGGGAGCCTGCTCCGAACTGTTCTGGTCGCTAGATTGCTTATGGGCTGTCTCACTGCAACAAAGGAGACCAGATACTGAAAAAAGATTTCCGAGCTATTGCCTTCTTCAAGGAATGTTTTCTGATATTTACAGTTTATTGTTTTCTCAAGATGGAACTGTTTTTAGGCATTTTGTCTTCTTAGAGAGGGCCCCTATTTCCTTTATAGATGCATAGTTTTTTAAAGCAGGAAATTGACCTTGTTCAACCCACAGGTTAATTTGAAATTTAAAAATTAATTTTAAATTAGAGTAGTACATTTTCTTTGTAAAAACAGCATATCGCAGAGATGGCATTTTGTCTTTTGACTATCAACCGCTGTCTCTAGGGATGCCGACTATTACGTGTGAGGTGTGTATCCTTCTAGATCTTTTGGGATACCTTTACGTGTGTGCACCTAACATCGTTTTTGACTGCTTTAACAAGGACTGTTGCACCCTTTAAATTTTAGCATACAATGCTTCAAGTTATTTTTTTTTTTAACAACTGCTGCATCATGTTCCATAGTTTCAGTATACCGTGGTTTAGCCGTTTCCCAAATTGATAGTTTAAGTTTTAACTTTAAAACAGCTTTTTTGCCGGTTGTGGTTCTCTGATGAGATGACATTTGGGTGATAGCACAGATATACGCTAATACTGAGATTCGGCATTTATGATGAAGTTCTCTTTCGGTTAAGAAATGTACATGTGGGAGCAGCCATCCCTCCCGTATAGTAGCTCTGACTGTACCTCTTAGAAGTCGTGTGACCTTGGGGAGGACATTGAATGACACCAAACCTCAGTTTTCTTTTCTGTAAATGGCCTGCTCAGTCTACTCCATAGAGTTCAGTGATACAGTGCATATGGTTTGTAGAATGTAAAGTAGTATATAAATATTGGTTTTATTAGCCTTTGTGATACAAAAATTATTTGCAATATCATTTATATTTTTTGACGAGATGTGTGTGTATCATATCACAGAGCACTAGAGATAGTCAACTTTGAATGCTTTTTAATTTGTGATTTTTTAAATTAATTTTTATCAAGTACTGACAATACGTTAGACTTCGTAAACAATATTTTGCAAAGCATTTTTTCCTAGAGCTTTCTTTTCTTCCCCTTCTTCTTTAAAAAAAAAAAAAGAGAGGGAGCGAGAGAGCGAGATAGGGTCTCTTTCTGTTGCCCAGGCTGGACTGTAGTGGCATGATTCTAGCCTCCCCAGTAGTTAGGAATGACTACAACCATGTGCTACCACACCTGGCTGATTTATTTTATTTTATTTTTGTAAAGACAGGGTCTTACTATCTTGCCCCAACTGGTCTCAAACCCTGGCCTCAAGCAGTCCTCCCAAAGTGTTGAGATTACAAGTGTGAGCCACTGTGCCCAGCCCCTAGTGCTTTCACACCTTAAAAAATAAGGCATATAAATTAGTTGACTGTGAATAAACATATTAGCAAACTGAACACCAGACAATACTCTCACCATAATATTTAATCTTATTTCCTTAAAGTTGTAAGTTGTACATGTATTTTTCTGTGGCAGCAGCAGATTCAGATTAGTTTTTATGTCCTTCAAGGAAAAGGGATTGTTACTAAATTTGCAGGCTGTATCAGAGTTTTAATATTGAGATTTAATATTTTAATCATTTAAATAACGATTGATGTGATGGGTAACATTTTAAGATGTACGAGATACGATTAGGGGCTTTGTATGTATTTTTCTTTCTTTCAGATGTATATGAGTGCCTGTAGTGTGGCCAACAAAATCAACTTGTTCTTTTTCTCTTGAAGCTTATGATCTGTGAGCGGGAGGGGATCGGAATTTAAACACAATCACAACTACACATATGATCACAAACTGTGGTATCTGCTGTGGAAGTTAAGCAACACCTGCTATGAGGAAGTATAAAAAAGGGGAGACCAAATTTTAGAGTGGAGAAAAGGGGCCTAGGAAAGGCTTTTCTGTATAAATAAGATTTAAGCTGAGATTTGAAGAGTGCGTAGGTGTTAGTGTGGAGGGAAGTGGGGGATAATTTTCCAGACAGAGGAACAGCATGTGGGAAGGCCTCAAAGCGGGGAAAAAGCTTTGCCCATTCCAGGAATTGAAAGAATGAATGTGGATAGACTATGGAGGTGAAGGGGAAGAGTGGCAGGCTAGGGGCCAGATCAAGTAGGGTCTTGTAGGGCAGGTTAAAGTGGTTGTATTTTATCCCGAGTGAAGTGGGAAACCATGATACGGGTTGGGTTTTACAAAGAGGAGTGACATAATCAGATTTGTATCTTTAAACAGCCACTCTAGTCACTGCATGCAAGATGTGGGGGTGTGTTGGGGCTGGAGAGTAGAAGTGGGGAGACCAAGTAGGCCATCTCAGAGGGCTGTCTGGAAGAGATGGGAGCTTTCCCTTGGAATTCACATTGACTTCACGTTACCAGCTACACAAAGGTCAAGTCAGTGTTCGATTAAAAAAAAAAAAAAAAAAAAAATCCTGGCCAGGCACGGTGGCTCACGCCTGTAATCCAGCACTTTGGGAGGCCAAGGCAAGTGGATCACGAGGTCAGGAGATCGAGACCATCCTGGCTAACATGGTGAAACACCATCTCTACTAAAAATACAAAAAATTAGCCAGGCATGGTGGCAGGTGCCTGTAGTCCCAGCTACTTGGGAGGCTGAGGCAGGAGAATGGCTGAACCCAGGAGGCGGAGCTTGCAGTGAGCAGAGATTGGGCCTCTGCACTCCAGCCTGGACAACAAAGCGAGATTCCATCTTCCAAAAAAAAAAAAAATCCTTGTTTCTAATTTTTTAAAAGTGAGGATTAATAAAAGTAGCAATAAAAAGGTACTTTGTATGCAAAAAGTACACAAAAATGTTAAACTAGTTGTCTACATTAAAAGGTATCGGCAGGTCTATCAAGTGAACCGTCGATTCACATCCTGTAACAACTTGTGTGTTGATCTTCTTTATTTTCTTCATCAATTTGTATGAGTTCTTTACATATTGAAAATACTAACTCTTACTATTTGCCACAAATATTTTCCACTTTATGGTGTTATGAGAGTAAGAGATAAAGGGCCAGGCGCCTACACAGCACTCAAATCTGGAAGTAGCTGCTGCTATTAGAAACAATAGAGAAAATAATAATTAAAAACTAGTGTACTAGACTACATAAAATTTAATTACTCTTTAGGGCACAGTTTGCAGAATGGTTATGATACATCCCCTGTATCATATATTTAGTGGCAAATAACACTGCCATTAAAAATGTTTATGAAGAAAATATGTTAAAATGCTTATGATAGTGTTAAGTGGAAGGAAATCAGGATACACAGTTGTATACATGATATGATTAAAACTCCCAAAAAAAGTCCCAGGAGCCTTCCAGTAAAACCTATGAATGGCAAAAATATGTAGAATAAATCAGGTGGAAATCTGAAGAATTGTGGACTAAATATATGATACCGGGATGTATCATAACCATTCTGCAAACTGTGCCCGTAAATGTAATTCTACAATATACATATTTTGTGCAGAAAACTTTTCTCTGTATTTGAAAATATTCTTTTGATGGTTCCTAGACCATCAAGAAATGTAAATAATTTAAAGACTCTTGATACATACGGCCAATGTAACATTAAGAGTGTGTCATTTTTACCACATCCTTTTAGGTATTAGGTAGTATATATTTTTGTCTAAATTTAGACCTTTAGTGAAATTGGTGAGAAACTGTAACATCTTCATTACAAAAGTAAATGCCCATTGTAAAAAAAACTGAAGCAATGCAAACAAATGTGATATGAAAAACCAGTCTCCCCTAGGCTTTTCCCAAGAAGTAATCAGAATTAAATGCTTTCCATGCTAAGATTACATGTACTTGTATTACATGTATGTTGGAACATTTGGTTTAACGAAGTGTATTATATCTGGGACATGATAACTACATGGCAAATAGACATGAACACTGTGTTTTTGGTTAAAGCCGTATGAATAAATTTGGAAATTACACTGAAAATGATTGGGACCCATTGAAAACTTGTGAGTAGGGTAAGAACAATCCATTTTGCATTTTAAAAAAGTTATATTAGAGTAGATAATGGATTAGAGGGAAGCAAGACTGGAGGCTTTTGTAGAATTCCAGGGAAGATTACGGTGGCCTGAGTTAAGCCTGAGTTAAGTTGAGACAATGCAGGTAGACAGTGGAGAGTTTCCAGAGGTATTTGGAAGAGAATGGCTAGACCTTTGTGATGGCGGGGAGTCGATGATATCCAGGTTTCCGACTTGGGCAATTGAGGGGAGAGTGGACTGATTTACGGTAGTTGGGAATTGGCTATGGTTTGAATATTTGTCCCCTCCAAAACTCATGTTGAAACTTAATCCCCAGTGTGACAGTGTTGAGAGGTGGGGTCTTTCAGAGGTTTAGCTCATAAGGGCAGAGCCATTCATAGATTAATGAGTTGTCATGGGAGGGTACCTAGAGGCTTTATAAAAAGAAGAGAGACCTGAGACAACATGTTAACATGCTCAGCCCCTTCTTATCGTGTGATGCCCTGTGCTGGCTCAGGGCTCTTTGGAGAGTCCCCACCAGCAGGAGGGCTGTCACCAGATGTGGCCCCTTGACCTGGGCTTTCTCAGCCTCCATAACTGTAAGAGATAAATTTCTTCATAAATTATCCATTTTCCTGTATTCTTTTGAAAGCAGTAGAAAACAGATTAAGACAGGAATGTAGTAGGCTTTTGTGAGAAAGTG